GTAGTAATATTTCCCCTGAAACTCGCCCAAATAGTGCCCGGTAGACCGAAGTGCCGTAACTTCAAAGTCCGGATAACCGACGTATGAGTGTACTATGTTTTATCATCTGATGAGTGTTTTTTTGAAACACGAAACTCGGAGTCACGAGAAGGATTTTTGGTCTCTGTTGTTCTGCCCTGTGTGAAATTCAGGGTTGCAACAAACTAACCTTGAGTTGCTCTGTGTATCCCATGCATAGGGTCCAGCGGATAATGCTCCGAAAACGTTTGTATAATGCTAACCATAATGCTCCAAAAACGGCCTTATAATGCTGATTATAATGCTTCAGCAAGGGATATAATGCTCTTGGTTTGGGACCAAAATGGAAGAAAGTCTGCACATTGTCAAACTTCCAGGAAATTATGCATATCGCCGATCTGCATCTGAAGCTGCAACCTTATCTCTCACGAGCTCCACCACTTTTTATCACTATAAGACATGATCGCTTCTCTATTGATTGCTCTCCATTCCAACTTTGATGCAAGGTTGTGGCAGAATAGTCGGTGTATCAAATATTTCCCCTAATTATCCATATAGTGAGAGATGAAACCATTATTGCAGGCAGTCATTCATTGTTGGGATGACGTTAATCTTGGCAAATAGTATTCCTGCCTGCAGACAAGCTGTCACTGCGTCCACTCTGTGAATAATGTCTTCATCTGAAACACCAGACGTGAGGCCAGCTCCTGAGATCCGATCTCAGATGGAGAGCCCTCCCATTTGCGGAAATCCTGAAAACACGTGGTCAGAAGTTATTTTGCCACTCTACATCCTTTGCTTGTGCTCTCATCTTCTCCTTGAGATGGTGTGTAGACGTACATAGTATGGCTTGCCACTATACTCCTCCTTTCTGATAGCATTTGACTGTAGGCCTGGCATTACTACCGTCAACAACTAACTGTACGTGCTTCATCAGGAAAGTAAGACAGGCGCTGCTGAGCAATCGACTTGGTACTGAGTCCATGAGAAATTCTAGTTCTTTTCGAGCCTCCTGAGCTGAACTCGGCAAAGGCAGTTCTTTTGGAACGAGCTATTTCTGTTGATAGCCGCTCCTTCATCCTGGTCCAAATTTAGCAATGCATCAGCGTCTACGTCAGTATTGCTAGAGATGCTAGCGCCAGAGCCTCTGGCACGACTAGAAAACTCTTCTTCGTCTGTTTGATATTCACTTCGCGTATGTCTCCTCCATAGCTCTCCATTATTCTAAAAATGAAACCTCGTAAATAATTTCTCCGGATTTGTGTCACTTGAACTGCCTCGGCCTCGGTTGGGCATGCTTCACAAATGGCTTGTATACATTTACCTGACCACATCGCTACAATCATAACGTTTTTATGTAGCAATAGTTATGTAGCGTTAGTGCTAAAGGTGTTACGTGTCTACACAATCACAAAGTCATGCACCGGTACAATGCATAGTGCTCAAATGCCCGGAAAGGGCGGAGCGTAGTACGCAATAGGTACACAAAAGGAGTAAAATAGGGCTGTTTCGTTGTTACTCAGAGTTTCATGGCAAAAACCAATCATCAGACAACATCTCATGATCATGATTGTAGCCGATTGTTGCCAAAAACCTGGGATTTCCCGATATTATCCACTATGAAACTCGTTATGCCGCTCAAACCTCACATAATGCTCGTTTTGTTCCTTTCTTATGCTCCATAATGCTCTGATGCTCGGATAGTCGTATAATGCCGAATATAATATTATCCGCTGGACCCTACCCATGCAAAGAGAACATAATTGTATGTTGCACACTTGGAATTGTTTTGCCTGTGGAGCGCTTAGTTCTTCTGTACCACATGAACTGTGCGGGTGGGTGCCTCAGCTGTGGCAAGGAAAAATATGCACGGGTCACACAATGGGGAGCCTTGGAGGATGTACTGTTGTTTTCACGATATCTCTACAACTATACACAGTGGTGTGTGTGTGTGGGGGGGGGGGGGCACCAGCAAGTTAGGGCAGTGATTGTTTCCAATGGCAATGAATGGGCTGAAATGCAGAGTAGATTGTGATGATGTCAGGACGGTGCTGGCCTTGATCTTGAAAAATAACCGTATACTAGTACTTTGAAGTTTAGTAAACCTGTCAAGGCGACCACTCGGATAAGGTGACCACCTGTGCCAGAAGACCACTGCAGCCAGGACCAAGGGATGCTATTTCCAGTCAAATGGCACTGGATAAGGAGACCACCTGGTCACGGAGACCACACTTTGAAAGTCCCTTGAGCGGTCGTCTTGGACAGGTTTCATCGTACATCGAAGTGATAATCATTGGGTGGTGTTGCTGTAATGAACAACAGCGGTCAGTATGGTAGACCTCTAGGGGCTGAGAGAAAGCTGGATGTAACGTTACGCACCACTCCATTGCCTACACACATGATGTACTACAGTCCATTTCAAAACTATAGACGCGTAGGGTTTTTGAAATATTTCAAATTTGGCTGGAACTTTTTGAGAATAGTTTTCGGAATACTGCTCAGGTCCGCTCCACAATTGCTCTCATACAGTTTCTAAACGATTGGATAACAGACGCCCAATTTGGAAAAGATTATGCACAAATTGATCACAGATTTTATGTGGTATAGATGCTGGCATAACGGTTTTTGCCTAGGTACGCGTCTATAGTTTTGAAATGGACTGTAATACTCAATCTCAATCTACGGACAGCTACTACTAGTACATATAGCTGTTCGTACATGTACATGTACATGTACATGTACATATACATGTACATGTACATGTACATGTACATGTATATGTAGTCACCACCTCCGGTCGCTTCCTGGGTAGCTACATTGGTGATCCAGAGGGAGTCTCTTCCTTTGTCCGTAGCAGAGTGAGTGATTGGGTCGATGGTGTCAACTGTCTTGCCAAGGCAGCAAAGGCGTACCCGCAGTCAGCACACTCCGCGTTTACGAGATCCCTCTCGTGCGAGTGGACCTACCTCCAGCGTGTGTTGGAAGGCAACGAGACCGAATATACTCCCCTGCGGGACACTATCCGGCACGTATTCGCCCCCAGCTTGCTAGGTCGTGAGGTGCTTGACGTTGAGCAAGATCTATTGGCCCTTCCAGCCAAAGTGGGAGGTCTCGGACTGGCCAATCCCGTTACGTCAGCCCCTGATGCTCATGCCACATCGAAGCGCGCCACTGAGATTCTGCAGGCTGCCATTTGCACCGGTGCGCCGGTCGACATGGCTCACCACATCAGCCAGTGCCGTCAAGTCACCAGCGAGGTCAGCCGTGCTCGAGACCTGCAGATGACGGAACGTAGTAAAGTCCTCCGAGCTGCGCTTCCGCGTCGCCAACAGCGGACCCTCAACCGCATCGTTGATGGCAACGCTTCCGGCTGGTTGACCGTGCTTCCTCTCAAGCAGGAAGGTTATGACATGTCGGCGGTCCAGTTCCGCGATCAGTTGGCCATTCGCTATGGCCAGGAGCCGAACGCTCTCCCGTCGCATTGCGATGGCTGTGGAGCTGCTTTCTCTCTACAGCATGGTCTGGATTGCATGAAGGGTGGGCTCATCAAGCGCGGGCACAACGATGTCCGCGACTTCGATGCCCGGCTGGCAGACGTTGCATGGGGAGGTGTGGCTGTCGAGCCGGTGATGGTACCTGTGCAGGATGGCAACAACCGCCCCACACTGCAGGCGGATTGGCTGGTCCGGGGAGTTTGGGAAGGAGACAGGGTGGCGTACTTTGACAACCGCATCGTGGATGCCGACGCACCCAGCTACGTCCTCTCGAACCTCTCTTGGAACGCCGTATCCAACAGTGCTGCCTCTTCCAAGAAGAGAAAGTACAAGGCGGCCGCAGAGGAGCTGCGAGCATCCTTCACCCCGCTGGTCTGCTCAACTGATGGTGCACTGCACACAGAGTACCGTGCGTATCAACGGCGACTTGCTATGCGCCTTGCCTCCAGGTGGGACAAGTCCTACAGCAACGTCATGTCCTGGGTGCGGATCCACCATCAGTTTGCTGTTTTCCGGGCTGTCGACCTTCGTCTCCGGGGTTCACGTCGTCGTCTCGGTGGGCTGGCAATTTGCGATGGTGTCGGCCTTGGCGTTGGCCGTTAACATTCATGCGTATGGCACTTGTTGTTGTTGTTGTTGTGTGTGTGTGTGTGTGTTTGTTTTCTTTCCTTTTCTTTTCAGCTGTCATTTGCCCTGATCATGCCTCATGCGTGTTTCACAGCATAGTACGTTTCCGCTCATTTTCTTCTTCAACACACGCTAGCTGTATTACTTTGTTCTTGCCCGTACAAGAGACATGTATGCATAAATGTAGGTAGGGCTTCCTCTATGTACAGCAAGAGTATGTACGTTTGTGAGAATCACTCTCCAATTACAGAGTGTACATGTAGCATGTACATATACATGTACATATACATGTACATGTATATGTATATGTACATGTACATGTACATGTACATATACATGTACATGTACATGTACATGTACATGTAGCATGTACATGTACATGTACATGCTACATGTACATGTACATGTAGCATGTGCATGTAGCATGTGCACCGTTACACGTATACTGTCAACATGTACATATAAATATAACGAGGAAGCAAACCTAACGTTTTAACGGGTGACTTTTTCTTTGTTATAATAATGTTCTGTTCAGGTTGCAATGCCACAGTCATAATTATGTGATGTGTGCGGATATGCCTGAAGATTGCAAGATCGTTATCGTAGGTTCTCGTTAACCTGTGGATTTTGGACAATCGTTAAATTTGCAACTCGTTATAATAACATGTCTTACAGTAGTTCATCATGGCGTTGGATATTTTTCCCAATCAGAAATATGCATGGCCTGTGCACAATGACCGTCTTGGTTGGACGTTGTACATGTATCTGAATGCGACTGAGCATTGCGTGAAAGGGGGCAGTTCAGTGGAGCAAGTCATAAAAAATTCAACTCCTTCATTCCGACTGCGGTGCTACAAGTGGTTATATAATGACTGACTCGTTGACGTAGGGCTCACGTGACAGACCGGATGGAGGCTGTAGGAAGTGTTTCATTTCCAGCATGACCTGATCTTTCTGTCGGTTAAACGTAAAGTTATTCGGGAAGATGTGCACGGCTACTTCCTGATCGAAGGAAGACGCAGGGCGGCGGGAGGTCCTCCGTCGGCTGACGATAATCATGGCTAAGATCCCGGCACCGACCGCAAGAACAGTTAAGCTGAGACTGAGTCCAACGATCTTCGCATTGCTATGCCGAGGCGTGAGCACCATGGTGAGGTTTGGTGCTGTGCCGGGTGAAGGTGATGCCGGTGGTGGTGGTGGTGGTGGTGGTGCAGATGTGTCTCTGGTGGTGAATTGTCCGTCAGTGCCTGTGGCTTGTGAGGACGTGATTGATGTTATGCTGTCATATCCGCTGGAAGATCCCATCGAAGAATTACGCTCAGGGACAGCAAAGACATCGGTTGGGGATGTGCTGTCGGTCCCAGATTCACTGCTGGAGGTTGCTGTAAGATTCATACCATGCTCTGCACTTGTTTCACTGCTCACATTATCGTTTGATCCATTGCTGGTGCCGTCATTTGGTTCACTGGTAACGGCATCACCTGGTTCACTGGTGACGTCATCACCCGGTTCACTGGTGACGTCCTCACCTGGTTCACTGGTGCTGTTGTGATCTCCTGGTTCACTGGGGCTGATGTGATCTCCTGGTTCACTGGTGCTGTTGTAATCTTCTAGTTCACTGGTGTTAGCATTAGTTGATGGCATCATTCCACTGCCTGCGTGACCACCTGATCCACTGATTATGTCATTGCTTGAATCACTGTTCGCGTCATTGCTTGATTCACTGCTGAAATTGCTACTTGATTTGCTGCTTTCATCATCTCCTGATGGCCTCTGGACATCTTCACTTGAACTGCCATTGCTGGTTGAGCTGCCAGTACTGTCATTTGATGAGCTGCCGGCGTCTGCACTTGTTTCATTGCTGACATCACCACTTGATCCACTGGTGATATCATCACTTGATCCACCGGTGGCGTCATCACTTGATCCGCCGGTGGCGTCATCACTTGATCCACTGATGACATCATCACTTGATCCGCTGGTGACATCACTATTTGATGTGATGTCATCGCTTGATACCCTATTGATGTCTGCTGAACCACTACCCGATTGTTGCGTACCGCTAATGGACATACGGGAGGAACCACTCACAGAAATACCTGAAAAAGACTCATTAGCGGAAGCTGACGAAGCTGAACCCACTGCTGATCCACTTTGGAAACCACTAACTGGGCTCCCAGAGTCCCTGCCAGAGCTACTGCCTGAACCAAGACTGCTAACAACGCTAGTCTCCAGAATAGATCCAACGCCAGAGCCACTGAGGAGGCTACTTCCTGAGTCAGAGCTGGCACTGCTGCTGGATTCCAGGTTTGAGCCGATACCAGAGTCACTTCCGGAGCCACTATCCTTCCCAAAGGCAGTTTCATCCGACGAGCAAGTGATAAATCTACTCGCGGAGCAGCTGATCAATCCATCAGAGAAGCAGTAGATCAAGTCATCCGGGCCGGATAAACACTTTACATAGCCGTCAGAAGAGCAGGTGATGAGACCAGGGAAGCTTGCAGCAGACCCACTGGCTGTATTTCCAGACCCGCTGATGCGGATGCTGGCCTGACCATTGTAAACTCCACTCCCAGACAGCGTGGTAGATGCATTAGCGGATCCAAGTCCCGACGCACTCCCGAAGCTGCTTAATGAGACCGCGGAGGACTCCGACGCAGACCCACTGCTATCCATTGCATTTCCGGAGTCAGTGCTGACACCACTCATGGAGGAGCCAGGGATTTCTCCACTTCCCGACAGATTCACCTCGCTACCATCACTGGCACGACCAGAACTGCCGCTTGCAGAAGACACGGCTGAGCCACTTGCCGACAGGTCTGCAGAGCCAGTGGCAAGGGTATAGGCTGATTCACCACTATCTCCACTGGGAAACTGTTGTGCTGAACTTGAACTATCATCACCAGAAGTATCACTACCAGAAGAAGAGGAGCTGACAAATGTAGACGAAGAAGCAAGAGATGATCCACTCCCGGATAAATCAAACCGATGGCTTGCTGATCCTCTGGCTGACACACCGCCAGATCCACTTCCAGAGTCTCCAGCTGAATCACGTACTGCTTCACGCCCCGATGCGCTGGTCAAGTTACATGATCTGCTTGCCGACTCAATCCCAGATCCACCGGTGGAGTTGCTTGATAGATCACTGCCAGCTCCATTTGACACCTCACTGCTAAGCACTTTCTCTAGGAGAACAGCACTGAGCAACAGTGCCAGGATGCAAAGCAGATGCGGGGACAATGGTGCTGGTAAGACGTGTCTTGATCGGTGGTGTGTCATGGTCCTCCTCATCATCGGCTCATTGGGGGTGGTACTGATACTGCTCAGCAGTTGCAGTGTACTCTCTACAGGGAGTGATGCTAGTCGGGTTCAGTGCTGGTGTCCTGGACACTGCTCGACTGTACACACCATCACCTATCATTCACATGGGCAAATTAGAGCATGGACAGACAGACAGACAGACAGACATGCATGTTAAATTGTTAATACAAAACTTCCTAGATGTGAATGAACCACAACACACTGTAGTAAAGTGAAATCCCAGACTGGGCCTCTCAGGAGCTTGGAATTTAAAGACACCTTAAAGCTTGTCAAGGGGCTCCGCCCCCTTCACCCCGCCGAGGACACGCCGAACCCCCCCCCCCCCCCCCTCTGGAAACCCCTTCCCAAACCCTTCCGGCCACGTGCCTGTGCTTGATAGGGGTGGCTGCAGTCGCAGCTGTGTTGGTGAAACTGGAGTATCTCCGCCGACTTCAGGAACACCGACCCGAGTGATAGTGTTTAAGCAATGCAAGCCAAACCAGTTTACGGGATTCCAAGACCCTGCCTCTGGTCATGTACACACATGACGGGTTTACGTGGCTCTAGTAAAAAAAATGTTTTGCACTCCCAGCACGTTCCCATGCACTATTCGACGCTACTGGCGCGCATTTGTTTCCTCCTCAGCACTGCTCAATCTACCATTCAATCACCTTGGCGTGAGGTAGAATAGTGGTCACCGTCTCAAAAGGACTACAATCAGACCTCGCTTAACCGCACACATCCGTTTTCAACAAAAATATCCGGATAGGCGAGGGAACCTGATAATCGAACACACATACTGTATATTATATGCATGACATATGCTGTAAATCGGTAACCAACGATTTTCTTCCGGATGGCGAGGGATCCGGATAAAAGAGGACCGGATAAGCAAGGTCTGACTGTAATAGCAAATAAGACTACGAGTATCCAGCGGTACTCACTTAGTCTGTACTCTGGCAAGACATGCATTCGCTTAGTACGTACATTGTCCAGAATAATAATAATAACAATAATAATACACACAGCTCGCATCTTCCCTGAACCTGTGAGACAGGAGCAGAGTCGACGCATCTGTCAATAGTTTCAAGCCAAGTTAGTCTATAACCTGCAGCTTGGAGAGCGCTCTCCACGGAGAGATCCGCTGCCTTCAGGTCTAATACAAAATACATGTAAATGCATGCTGCAATAAGAAGGATCAGTCAGGGAAGTGAACTGCCTGAAAAGAGAAACAAAATGCCAACCTCACCATGCAGGACTTGAACCCGGGACCTTGCTTGTCATGAGCGATGCTCTAACCGTCTGGTCCTGGTCGGGTTTCTCTTTTCGGGCAGTCCACTTTCCCTGCTGATCCTTTGAATTAATTTTTGAAGTTCTCCCAATCCTTTAAAAAAATATTGATACAATAAGGGCAATTAATTTCACTGGGGCCTACAGAATGCTAGGTTCTTCTTGTGACCGGACCAGACCGCACCACGCTTGCAGACCCGCACGGACAGTTCACCAGCCACACCCCACGAAAGCAAGAAGTGTTACTCCTTAAAAGTCTTGTTTTGTTCCTTGATAAGATGACGGGAATTCATCAAAGCAGAACCAGGCATTGAATGCTATCGTGGAGTGTGGCTGGTGATCTGTTCATGACGATGTCTGCGAGCGTCGTGTGATCAGGCCTGGTCAAAAGAAAACCTACCACAAGTTGGACGGACCAAATAAGGATGCATCAACATTGCATGGGTCAAGCGTCGAATAAAGATCAAAGATGGCATCTGCCTCACCTTCTTCGCTGATCTTGTGTGGTATACCTGTCAGCCTTTCGGAACCAAAGACTCTCCACGTAGAATCTAGTAGGGAGGTTTAGTCCCACGTACGTGTGTGTACCACGTGATACTCAGTGTACCCACGTACGTACAGACGTTTTCTGGTTCACGACATACCGTGTATGGAGGCTCACCCACGTTCCGCCAGAACGTGGGTGAAAATCAGAATGGAGCGCATTGTGCGAGCTGTGAGGGTGCTCAGCTGAAGAAGTTTCCGAAGCACGAAATCAAAATATTGGATGAGCTTCTTAGGCCCGGGTAGCTTCGTCTTTGACCAGGTTTGGGCCTTTCGCTTCATGCTTTTGTTTGTTCCGTGTGACTAAACACAACATTGCAACGTGGGTGCCCTTCATCCACTTTACGTGGATCACCCACGTACGCGTTTCCGTTACGTGGGAACTAAACCTCCCTATACTAGTAGTGTACTGCGTGGTTGTGTGTGGCAAAACTCTTCAATACTGGACTCGAAACTAGTCGCGATATGGACTATTGCAGGCCACCAGCATGACGTGCGAACTGACTATTAGTGCTAGCAGTGACGTGCTCGGTGCCTAGACTAGAGGGCTAGAACTAGACTTCTTCAAGTAGAACCCAACACAAAGTGTGAGCGTACTAAAGCCTATTACAACGTATTGGGTAGAGATAATGAGCAGCAGCCTGCCTGAAACACACCAACATCTACTAACCATCACACGCTCTTTGGTGATGAGGCTTCGATCACTGCAATGCCAAGCGTAGACGAAACACTCGCAAGTCGGGTCTCACCACCACTGGTAAGTTGCAGTTTTCTTCGTCGAGTTCTGGTAGGAGTGCAGTCTTGTGCGAGATGCAGAACACCAAGACTATCCACTGAACTGCAAAGTGTGAACTGCGGGGAAGCATGGATACTGGATTGGCGTTGCGAGCCATGCATGCAGAAACAACTTGTCTTTGTGTGAGCAGCATGTATTATTGTGCTGCTGGTATAGCATGACTTCAACTCACCCGCTCCACTTACCCTAAGCTGCAGGAAGGTCTTACTGCACTGGTGCCAGTGGTGGCGATGTTTCGCAACCTACACCGTGTACATGACGGTTTTGCTACAACGCTAGGCATACCGTACTGACAGGTCCCATTGTCCGGCGCGGTGGAAGCTTTCATCAGTTTGGAAAGCATTGGATACCGTATCCTGGACTGGCGGGCACTCGCTGCCTGTGCCTATCATCAAGAGTACATTAATATATTTTACATACCGGTAAGTACTCTTGCTATTTTATGTACTCTTGCTATCATGGGTGGCAACGCCATGCAGAAGTCAGGTACGTACACGGTGGTATTGAGTTGCACTGCCACTGGATTAGTATTGGGCAAGTCATGATGAAGCAGTTTGAAGAACATTAATTTTGCAATAATTAACATTTATGTTGAACGGTGTCTAACATTACTGGTAGGTGTATTGTAGCATACTCGTACCATGTAGATGCAATGAATATGTCATGTACCAGTTAACAGGCAACAAAGCCCTCTCCAAAAGGACCAAAATGTCTTCGTTGTTACTCCGAATTTTCATGGTTTCGATCAGGAAATAGTAAGATATTATTTTGTTTCAATCATCAGGCAAAATAACTGTAGGAGTGCGTACTGCATATTGAATGAAAGGAACTTACTTGTGACCTAAACGAGGTGTATATACATGTATGTGCAATACAAGATGTACGTGTAGGACACGTTGTATGTTTCGGTTGCAGTCAAGAGCGCGGTTTCCGTACTGCATCACGCGTGTCCTCCACCTTGTGCTGTATTTGTATTTTATTATAATTATTTAAGGATTTCCCAAAGGCTTTGGGCCTGTCGAGGGGATCTCCTGCAAGAAGAATGAAATGACAACTTTATGTAGAGGGAGCAGTTAATCGAGGATAGGCTAAGGAAATAGATCGAGGCATACAACATCTGGTAATTAAGGATTTGGGATACTGTCAGTGTAATGAATATATCGGCGAAAAAGCTGATAGAGAGAATGCTTGAATTCGGGGAGACTGGTTATGTATAGGTATGCTGTCTTTGTCATGTACATGTACGTGTAGATAGTTCTAGAGCATCATTGTGACATTGGTTGGTTCATACTACAGTATTATACTCTATGGGGAAGGTTCACAGTTCGAGGCCTGATGATGACAGTAGGGTGCAGCGGATTCTGCCGGCAGAAAAAATGGCAGAAAATTCGGTACTTTTTCTGGTAAGTTTCATGCATGTTTGGTATGTGGATAAAGAAATGGAGCAGAATTCGAGGAATTGCCCGCCATAAGGTTTTTATGGTTCTGCCAATTTTACTGCTTTTCGAGCAGAATCTGCCGATGCCTACATGTAGATGACAGGCATGTTCTCTGATCAGATTTTCCTCCTTTACATCTCCTTTACATCTCCTTTACATCTTCTTTACATCTCCTTTACATCTCCTTTACATCTCCTCCAAGCTAGTGTAATGCTAGTAAGGCATGATGAGGGAATTCGAAACTCGGATGTTGAACCAATCATAAAAATGTGAAAAGGAAGGGGAGTTTGGAGACTGCTGATGTGCGCGTCGGAGATGTGTTTGAGCTAGGTGTCAAGTCGTTGAATGTTTCAGCACTCTGTAGTTGTGTGCCTTTTTTTCTTCTTCTTATTTTACAAGATACTAGTAACCACAAACCATCATGGTGCAAACGCCGGCAAAAACGCACAGAGATGCACATAGCGATGCTGCGATGGCAGCCGAAGCAGTGGAGGCGGGGAAAGAGCAGCTAAACCGACCAGGGGTCTCGGTTTCATCACTGCTTAATGAGTGCTCATGCGCGCCAAACAGAAAAATACGAAAATAGAAAAACCCTCCCCTACTACTAGTAATTATTACACGTTCTTGCTGCATCTTATCTAGTTGCAGTGGGCCCTGAGATTCATATTTATAAGTCAAAACTTCTTATAACTCGTATCCATGTAGTTGTTTTTATTATTATACGAAAGTCCACTATATTCCCGAATATGTGCGAGAAGTGGTGGCGGGGCCAGGCTGCTCTGCCGACCTCAAAGGTCTCGGCGTCTACGCAGACAAAGCGCGCCATAATGCAGTATGCAGTAGTATCCCTTCGTTTTGTTTTCATGATGAAGTTGGTGGACATACTGCACTCTCCACACACCGACCGTACATGGCATCTGGTGGTACTTGTCCTAGTACAGTAGCAACAGGTTAAACTATTTTGTCAAAGACGCAATAGGTTAAACTATTTGTCAAATACGTAGTGATGTAACGACGTGTACTGACTGTTCTCCAGCAACAGTATCGTGTTGCTGAGTATAATTTGGACCCGGGCCGGAGGTGTCGGTGTTCCTCCTCTCTGGCGGACAGCATCCGCCAACACTAACTACTGCATAAAGCGAGATTTCTAATAGTGCATGTAGTGACTGGCCATGTACTGGTCAAACACCGGACAATTGGTTTATAATAATAATTATTATTATTGCAGTACAGTACTAGCCGACCAGCATGAACACATTCACCACCGTTCTTCAAGAATGGGCACTGTGGCAGTGTGCATTATTCATACGCACACCATCGTAAAGGATATTTCTACCTTCATACCAGGGCCAAGAGAGCCCGAACCTCAGACGGATGAAACTAGGGTCCAGCGGATTCTGCCGGCAGAAAAATTGGCAGAATTTGATACTTTTTCTGCTAAGTTTCATGCATGTTTGGTATGTGGATAAAGAAATGGAGCAGAATTCGAGGAATTACCCGCCATAAGGTTTGTATTGTTCTGCCAATTTTACTGCTTTTCGAGCAGAATCCGCCGGTCCCTAGATGAAACCCGTCATCTACATGTACTTGTATCAGTGCCAGGTAACTGGTTAACACAAGATAACCGTTTCCGTTTCGCTGGTTGTACATGTTTCATGCTCGTGACCTGACAACAGTTACGTCGAGATCGGGTATTATCGCCTTGTTGAAGACTTCGGTCAGAAATTAACTACCGGTAGACTATGATAGGTTGAGGACTTCAGTTGGAGGCAGCGGCAGTGCAAATGTCCAATGACGAGAGAGGAGATGAGCAGAATGCGCAGCACAGTCATGATAAAATTACCAGTAGTAGAGTACTGAAAAGAAAAGGACCAAGGAACTAAGGAACCAAGGAACTACAAGACTACTTTGAAGTTACGCTATTTTTTATTATTATTTTTTACTATGTTCACATAACCAGCTCGAAAAGAATAAGGAAAGACAATGGTACAGAGAAGATGGACAAACGTGACAACTAATGAGCAGAAATATAATGTCCACTAACACCACCAGTTACTAAGCAATCAGCTCGTGCGATAACATTGCACGGCACTGACCGACGGTACTGACGTTCTGCAAAGAACTGGCTATCAAGAGAGCCTGTAGCACATCTTGGATGCGCACTCCAACAGCCTTCCGGAAGGTTCTAAGTTATAGAAATAACATAAGGAGGGGAAGGTAAGCGTAACCAAGAATAAGCACGAGCTGAAAGTCTCAGCTGTGAAGGACGTTGGCGGATGTTCATGCCAGGGCCAGTGAGTTGTAGAACGTCAGTGCCGTCGGTCAGTGTCGTGCAATGTTATTGCATGAGCTGATTGTTTAGTAACTGGTGGTGTTAGTGGACATTATAGTGTAACTTGTAGTTTCTTGGTCCTTTTCTTTTCTATGATTTATCCGATAAATCAAGGGGCCAAGGGCCTTGCCTCTCCATCCGAGTCCATTCTGGTACAGTACTGTTTTATGTTTTTTGATCAACTTCAACCAGGGAGTAGTACAATAATTATGACTTGTACTACTCCCTGGTTCCATCACTGCTGCCGCGTAGATCCACGGCCCCACTCAGTTGTTGTCGTGCTTTTGCATTTCCTTTGGCTTTGGTGCTTCAGCGATTGCCCTTTCACTACTCCGGGGTAAGTCTTTCGCTCACCTTGTCCATTAAAAAAAATTATATTTTACGAGTTGGGAACGTGAACTTTAGTATAAAAAGACAGAAAGAAAGAAGAGATGGATTAGCCCATCACGGGCCGGTGGGCGTCGGTGTTCTTCGGCGCCCATTGCCGAAGCCTACGTCCGTACGAGTACTGATACAGCCTAGTAGCATGAGTACAGGCCGTATCCGGGATATGTAGTCTGTTCTAGTGGACCCAGCGCTAATGAGTAATGTCAATGACGCCGGAGCTCGCAATACGTTGAGGCCACACCCCACCTCGGCAGGCCCAGACTCACAGCCCCAGAGGCCGCGTGAGCCAGCTTTTTCCTTCAAGTAACGTAACGTTAGTTTTTGCCACATGGGCCGGGGAATGCAGAAAATGCTCGGGGCCGCGGCCCGAGCGCGTCCTTCGTCCGTTCTACCGCATAGCCGACATACATGTAGACGGACACGTGTCGTTGTAGATCAAGCAGAACTCGACTCTCGAGTCAACCAGCCGATCGTTGCATCGAGTGTGTTTCATCCAGTGCTGGACATGACAATAATATTTTGCTGGACTTGATTTCACTACATCTCCTACAAGGCTACAGTCATGTAGTTAGCTGATGTGCTCAGTCTCCGGTCTGAAACTGACAGTATCGCACCGAGCAACAGGCATCGCCTTTTCTCTCTGTGCTTGTGTGGTCATGACCATTTGTATGGAAGCCACAATGATTTTGATGTAGCTACATGGGTCTACCTATACCCCGCATTTTGTTGCAGTTCTCGCTGTCTGCACTATTTGTGGTGCCGTTTGGTCCGAGGGGGAAGACGCGTCATGTTCAGGGCTCAGGTCTGTATGTGGATGTAGGTCGTCACAGGCAAGCACTGAATCCGCCTTGCACAGTTTGTGAAGCCAACACTGGCAACAGGTATAAAATACTATTACAGATAACCGTGGAACAAGCACGGTCGGTGAGGGCGCCCACGTCCACTGCAGTAGCACTGTCAGCAACTAAGTATGGCGCAGCAACAGTCACCGAGCAAAAAGAAGCCGACCATTCCGCACTTGGATCTCTACAATTTCGAGGAGCCCTGGGCAAAGGAGACCCAATATGTCCTGACCAGTCCTCGCTCGCTGGAGGCGTGTGGACGATGCGGCGTGCAGCCTGTGCAGCTACTCTACAAATCCCTGCCGGAGTTTGAGAGCGAGCTCAGCGAGGAGAAGCTCTCCTACACGGAGCTGTATGATGTGTACCAGCGAACGGAGCGCGAGCGCCAGGAGCTGCTGAAGCGAGCGAGAGAGGAACGCGAGCGCATCATGTGGAGCGATGCCGAGCGAGACGCAGTCCCTGGCCTCGAGTCGAGTGTCAACACCAGCAGCCATGAGCAGTCTGCCACCAGCTCCGCGAGTAGCTTTGCTAGCTACTCCTCAAAGCTGAGTGCCAGTGTGCCCACTAGCGGAGGGGCTACTGCTGCAGAGACAACCGCGACCAGGAGTAAATCAGCCGTGCCTGGACTCAGTCATACCACTCATGCCAGCTCACACGCACAGGGCAAGACGAACAGGGTGAAGTTCGTGCGTGGAGAACAGTTGCCCGGCCATTTACCCACCACCTCACCCACACCATCATCTACCCTCTCATCTTCGTCATCATCGTCGTCCCGACCGGCTTCAGCCCTGGAGCGTCGTAGCATGCAGCTCGTCGGGCAGAAGTTGGACTTGCACGATCGAGCCAAGACGCCGCAAACTCACCGTGGCGGCGTGCCATCCACGAAATCCTCGGCCAGCACGGACACAACTGACTCGTCCAGGCCTTCGACTAGTACCAGTGTTACGTCAAGCAATCGTACGGCAAGTACACAGGCAAACGGTGGCCCAGCTCAGGAATCAACATCGTCACGCACACGTCAAACTAGCAGTGTTCCGGCCGCCGTGCCCACCGATCGGTTGCGTGAAACCAGTCGAAAGCCAAGCACGACGCAGCAGCAGCAGCCCGGTTTGTCGGCCTCGGCCACATCTGCCGGCCTGAAACGGGCGTCCACCGCATCGTCCGCACCACCATCCCGGCCATGGAGCAGTGCAGACGGTGCGCTACTGGCGTCGAAATCCAGCGGTGGCCATACTAGCGACTCAGCGTCGTCCACACTATGGTCAGCTGACGAGCTGGCCGATGCCGTAGTGAGCGTGGGAATGTCCAGCATGGAGGCGCGCAAGATGGCGCTTCTCTCCGAACGCGACCGACGCATCCTGCAGAAGATGGTGGAACGGCGGCGGCGAGACACCGAGACACGTCAGCAGCGACAGTCTGCCGAGCTGCAGTGGGATCGTCAGGCTGAACACCGACGAGCCGAACGGCAGCTCGAAGAGATGGAACACCGCAAGGCCATGGAGAAGAAACGCGAGAAGGAACGAGCGGTGACCGAGCTGCGCGTGGCAGCGTTGGAACAGCAGCATCGCGAAGAAGTCGACACGTTGCAGCAGGAGCTCGAGGAGAAGGAGGACAAATGGTCACAGCTGTATGAGGAGCAGCAGGAACGATTGCACCAGACTGTCCGGGAGAAAACCCAGAAGGAAGAGCGGAAGCGGCAGATGCAGGAACTGCGACGTGTCGAGCTGCTAGTCGAAGAACGACAGCGTAAGCGAGCCATGCTGGAAGAGAAAGAAGCCAAAATCGAGACGGCAGGCGAGCGAAAACAGCGCCTGGAAGAGGAAGAGCTCGAGCGTCTCAAAGCCAAGAACACGGCCGAGCGTGCGGCCATTGCTGCTCGTCTGAGAGACCTGGAGGACGACGAAGCGGAGGAGCTGCTGAACCTGCAGAGTGATGTCATCGAGAAACACCAGCGTGCCGAGAGACGCCTGGAAGCAATACGTGTCGAGCAGCAGCAGCTACAGCGGGTCAAGTCGGAGAAACGCGATCGGCAGGCGGAGCGCAATCGCGACGCAGCACTGCAGCTGGAGCACGAGACTGAACAGCTGCGGCTGGCCAACGACGAGCAACGGCGAGAGGCTGAGCACCGAGCGGCCGAACTAGCACAGCAGCGTGTGGAGGAGCGCCGGGCGAAGACGGCCGAAGAGCTGAAAGTACGACACGCCGCACACGCCAGGAACCTGGAGAAGCTACGGAACGTCGAGCAGGAGGACGAGCGCCTGCAACGCCGACAGCTGGCGGCCAAGGAGCTACGCATGGAGGCGATGGCGCGTGAGCGCGAAGAGGTGGTGCGCGAGTCTCGTGAGCGGGCGCTCGAGGCGGAAGTCCTCCGCGAGAAGCTCAAGGAATTCTGCTCTACAGACACGTTTGACAAGAAGGTGCAGAGTGCAGAGCTCACGGCGCCTCTTCAGGATATGACGCACCGACCGATTCGCTCCGCGGCGGTGAACAAGACGTCATCGCAGGTCCTTCTTGGGTAGGCACTGCACCATGACTCTCGTTGCTGCTGCTCAACTGTTGTGCGGGTGTATTCACTGCGGCAATATCGGCCATTTCTGTGTGAGATTTAGTCTGTGTCTGCTTTCGGCTCATTTGTGTTGCCAGCTCAGAGCATGTAGCGCATAATCATAGTCAGACCACTATGGTTGCTATGGTTACTGTAGTTGCTATGGTTGCTACGCTATGGTTACTGGCTATGGTTGCTATGGTTACTGTAGTTGCTTGCTCCTACATGTATCCATGGTGACTTCTACCTTGGCCACGTTGTCATGCAGCATACAATGTCAGCCTCCACTGTTGGCAGAGAATAGTGTCCCGTCGAACGTCATTTTTGAAGTGTTTTTATTATATTTTATAAAGTGATATGTTTATAAAAATAGGTTACAACATTGAAGTATTTTGTCAGATTCTTACAGTTTATGCCCGGAGTGGTAGCACGCAAGATTGGCCTGGTCCGTTTTTATGTTGACTAACAACAGGCACGGTATGTGAAATCCAAACCCTTGATCTCAGCTTTACAAGCTTCCAGGGGTTGGATTTCGTGGGTATCACCGCATACATGTACAGTGCGGTGCAGTGTGAAACCTAATGCCTGGATCTCGGCTTTACATGTAGTCAGACCTCGCATAACCGCACACGTCCGTTTTCCACAAGAATATCCGGATAGGCGAGGGATCTGGATAATCGAACACCCATACTGTATGTATGCATGGCATATGCTGAAAATCGGTAACCAACAATTTTCTTCCGGATGGCGAGGGATCCGGATAAAAGAGGACTGGATAAGCGAGGTCTGACTCTACATGTACATGTACAGTCAGTAGCTGGATTTCTGTCTTAGATGGCAGTGCATGAGAATCATGTGTGACTCCTGCAGCGTACGGTGCACGGTGTATGCTTGCCATACACACACTCTGTATCACTCACAAACACTCGCATGTACACACACACACACACACACACACACACACACACACACACACACACACACACACACACACACACACACACACACACACACACACACACACACACACAGACACATACACACACACACACACACACACACACACACACGCACATACACATACATGCGCACATAAACATACACGTGCACATACATACACACACACACACATTCTCTCTCCACATTGGCTTGGGTGTGAACGGTTATAGCTTGGGTGTGAACGGTTATACGAAGGCGACATTGCGCCAATTAATAGATGTGTGAAACAAAAGAGGGTACATGCTCCAATAATGATCGGGTTTCTAAAAAAACGAGTCAAACTCAAATCACCAATGGGAAGGTTACTAAATATGCTAGCATCAGAAGCCTGGCTAAACCTGTTACTTCAGTACAACGTTACTACGGTGTATCCGTGTAGTTACTAACGATGGTCATACTAATCTGGTAATCAGTGGTTGATAGGTAGCGTCATGAGAGATGGAGAAAGTGCAGATGCAATATGGGCTGTGAAAATAATCGGTGGATGGGTCTCAGACCATATTGGTGCTCTTCATCAGTTTCTACGTCTATTTACTGTTCTATTGTTGGAGTCAGAAGTTAATAGAAACGCCTGGTGATATTAAATTTTGCTCAACACTTCGGGACGTCACCGCCATTGAAGTAAAGTGAAATAGTTCAATGATACCAATGCAAGTTTTGGAGTGAAAAAAAAGAAGCAGAAATGTTGACAAAAAATATTCTGCATTTGTTCCAAGAGCTGAGTCTGAATAGAGGTTATCAGCTACTGTTCAGAATTCACTGATTACAAAGCTGGTGTAGAGCAGGTTTAGGAGACCATCATTCTGTCTAGATGGCCATGAAGTCGAGACCCTAGGTCGGCAGAGCTCCCTGAACCTCACCATCACTGCCACGATTCAGGTTGTGCATGCTTCCCCTAGCCGCATCTCACGTTTGGCATGTAAGTGGTCTTTGTAAAATAAAAAAATTCTACTTCTTGCTTTGTGGCCAGTACATGTAGCAGACCGACCGGCACCCTGCAGAATTCTGCACGGTAATCAGCGAGCAGCAATGTCTCTCTCTACCACTCCTCTATCTCCAGACGAGGGATAATCACAAGCTGCAGAGTGTTGGCCTGCAAGAGCTGCACCACATCTTCGGTGCACACCTCGGCCACACCGCCGTCGGTGGGCTGCAGCGACACGCCGTTGATGGCCAGGATCTGGTCGCCCTCCTCCAGCATGCCAGACAGAAGTTTACGAGTGTCACCACTGGCGATGCGCGACACGAAAAACCCGGCCTGCTGAGGTGACGAGTCATTGGCTGCCGATGACGCCAGGGCGGACGGACGGCGTTTGACGTAGAATCCGTATGTTCCCGACGCAGGCCGATGTAGCTCAACGGATCGTGTGCTGACTAGTTTCTGGTTGACTTTGACATTGCCGGACGGCTTCACACGGCCGATGTAGTGGAACTGCGTGGGAGCGCCGATAGACTCGGGGCTGCTCTGCCGTCGACCAAGTGATGAGCGTCTCCTGGTGAGCTGAGATAGTGAGGAGCGACGACGTTGCTGTGGTGTGGAAGGCTTTTCCGGTAAGCAAACGGACGAATCGGGTGATATGCTGGTTGATAGCGGCGTCAGTGGCATGGATAATGGTGACGTGGGCGAGTCGGATGACGATGATGATGGGGAAATCCCTGTCGGTATGCTCATGGTGTCCTGTATGGTAGCGAGTCAAAGAAATTACAAGCCGCAAACACGCACAAAATGCACACATACACATACACAGACACATGCACATGCACGCACACGCACATACACACACATGCAAACGCATTCACAACTCCACAGGCACGTACACAAAGCTAAGTTAGACTCAATGAAAAAATGGAGCGCACAAAGTTTTATAGCGGCAAGCCATACAGCCACCAACCCCTAAATCTCACCAATACACGAATATCCAGCTTCAAGTAGACAATCTATGCGTGAGAAGCAGACTTACCGTATTGTTGGAATCAGTGCTTCCACTGTCTGCACTATGCGTGGCTGTGCAGCTCGAGCGACGTGGGGTCTGCATGGGTGTGATCATCGGCATGGCTGCGTCGAGATTCGTAACCGGAGCTTCGGCTTGCGGAGTGGCTGGAGGTGTTTGAGCTGGCTCTTCAATCACCTCCAGCAGGTCATGGGAGGAATTCTGCGAAACGCAACAAGAAACACATTACAAGCACAGTACTATTGGTTGCCGAGGAAACGGAACGCCGAAGAACGAGCAGGCTCTGACTTCACCAAGCACAGTGTCACACCGATATAGATATGACGTGCTCAACTGTGCATAGACTGTATGCATGTAATATTTTTAAATAATAAGAAAATAAGAGCGGCCAAGGCTACGAGGCTGACCCCCTCCCCCCCCCCCCCCCCCCCCCAGTTCTCCGACACACGACAGCACTGTCGTCTGTCGGAGAACGGGGCCCCCGAAGAACGACCAGGCTAGAATTTCACCCAGCATAGCCTAACAATGTATACACGGTGACTCAACTGTGCATAGACTGTAATACATGAAAATAAGAACGGCCTAGGCTAGGAGCCTGACCCCCAGTTCTTCGGCGACCAACGGTACTCTATTGCTCAGTGTACACAGTGCTGAATACCGCAACGACAGAAGCTTCATTACAAAGGAGACAACGAGATTCTTCCAACCAAAGTTTCGTGCCATAGTGATCCTCAGTTGGAACATCTCTCCCATTCTGCCGTCTTTGTAGCACAACAACATCAGTAGCCACGAGGCAAGGAGTTACTGCAACAGTTTTATCCCAGAAGCGTTCATCAGAACCCCCTCGCATTTGGCTACAGCCCTGAGAGGGGGAGTGTGAGCAAAGACACCGCCAGCAGGAGCATCCCCTTGATGCCGTAACCGCAGATCGGTCGATTGCAAAAGCCTCGCCATCACGGTGCTCCCATTATGCCTGTTCTCGCCTATGACAGTGAGCTGTTTTCAAAGAAAAATCCAATAAATGGAGTGTTCCCTTACCTGACCACTGAGCACGGCTAACTCGTCGGTTAGTGACCTCGGCCGTGTAGCAGCTACACCAGCACTACCTGTTCCAGTTGCTGTGGTTACGGCGTTGCCATGCCCACCACCGTGCTGCTGTCCACCGCCTGCTGCGGTTGCCATGGTGCTGACGGAATCGCAGAAGACGCCGCTGTGCGTCTGGTGCAGTGTGTCGCTGGACGTGCCGTGCAGCAGGGTCGAGCGGAACAGCTCCTGTTGATCGCGGACCGTCACGGACGACGTGGCCGTTTGCAGCGACGACATGGACATGTGCAGCGACACTAGCTCCGGGCTGATTCCGTCGTCGAGCAGCGTGGCGGCGCTATGGCAACCACCATCTGTACTGCGTTGAGACAAGCGGCATTTGTCCCCGCGACGCACTGCCACCGCCGTTCTCTGGTCCTCCAGGCGAGCGGCTGCCGAGACGGTCGACGCTGACGATAGGTGACGGCGAAGCATTGCCGCTTCCTGTCTCCGTGACGACGAGCTGTTGGTGCGTTTTGCGGGCGACGTCGGCAGCGAGGAGGCTGTAGTCTCACCTTCCGTGGCCGACGTCGTGAACTCGGTGAGCGTATTGCAGCTGTCGCTGGCGTCGAGCTCATCTTGTGATGTTCCTTCCGTGTCCGACCGTCTCTTCCGGTCAGGAAAACTCCTCTTTGAACTAGCTACCATGAGGCCAGTGTTCGCAACGCTTTCACCTGCAGTGCCTGCAGAATAATACATATCACGGAAGAGATCAAGGCGAAATCACACGGGCCATTACATGTATTATCACAGTGCTCTGCAATCCATGCCTAAGAGTGCGCTCTTATATTCGCTAGCTTCTCGGAGAAGAAGAAAAGAGAAGTCGAAGAAACTGCAATTATTTAAGAACGGGTCTCGAAGAATTTGGAGATATTTTGCACATGTCACGCAATATGAAGCGCCAAAGGGGCCGCGATCTTGAGTGCCATGAATGCACTGTGCGTATGCGAAAAAGGGAAATGCGTACACTCATGATCAACACGTGGCATTTAACCGTAGTTCGCATGCGCTGATCCCAAACCGCGGGAATCTCCAAGTTTCAGCCACCTCTAAAGCTTGGAGCTTTGTAGAGCCTCCTAAAAGTCGAAGAGGATATAAGAACAGCTCTCGAACCTTTCGGAGAGTCTCCAACTTTTCCGAGAGGATTTAAGAACGCGTCCTTAGAAAGTTAGAATGTAAAAGAAGGTTGCTTGGTCCCTAGAATCTGGTTTCATACATTTTAAAATAATTATGATGAAGCTCTCTGCAAGAGCAAATCCCAGCGCTTGCAAGTCTGGACCTGCACAGCGCCCGGCGTGTACTTGAGGTTTTTTTTAATTTATTTATTTTACTAGCAAACACAGCCCTACTAATAATCAAGGGAAGAGGACAACTGAAATGACACTGGACAACAAGACAAAGGGGAGTGGGGGCGATGTGCCAATGTGGACGCGATCGGGTTTCTTCGAGCACTTTATTGTACACAACCTGATAAGTACAATCTTCCGGGTCGGTAGAGTGCTCAATGTTCATGCGAACAGAGCTACAGTAAAACCTGATAAGGCGACCCATCTGCCTCAGAAGACCACAGCAACTGGGACCAAGGGATGCTATTCGCAGTCAAACGACCCTGGATAAGGAGACCACCTAGGAACAGAGACCACATTTTGAAGGTCCTTTGAGTGGTCGTCTTAGACATGTTTCACTGTATCTTACACACAAGACACAAAGTACCACATGTGCTGTGTGCTTTGTGTCTTCTGTGTAACCTGATAAGCATACAAATCCAAACTGAGAACTCACGTGTGTTGGTCATCTTCTTTGGTACGATGCTGGGAGTTACACTCCGGCTTGCCTCGTCTGTCATCTCCAGTGCACTTGGCTCTGTGTCCGGCGTGGCTGACACAGCATCGGCAGGCAAAGCGGTTTCCTCCCCTTCATGCACCACACGACTTTGCCCGCTGTGCGTTGACATTGGCGATGTTTGCGATGAGTTGCTGGGAGTCATGGTCACCATGCCGACAGCGGAGCTCGTGATGAGCCGCTCTCCGCCGCTGGCTGCTGACATGTCCGACGTGATCGACGGCGTCCTCGAACCCAGACCACTGCTGTTGCTGCTTCCCTGCCGATTATGGAAAAGTGACGGGGACAGACCGCTACTGCTGAGGCCCAATTGTGACGTGCTTGGATTGCTGGGGAGTTGTCGCGATGCTGTCCCTGCCACTGCGGCTTCTTCATCCAGTCCTATTGCGCTGTCCATGCCGAAGGATTTCCGTCGTGTTTGCTCCAGCCGACAGCCGCTGGGTGAAGTCGTCATTATCAAACTGTTCTGTACGAGAGGGATCTGGCTGCCTGCTACCTGGTTACCATGGAAAAGATGGCCGTGCACGGGGGTGATGGACGGTGACTGCATTACCACCGCTTGCCGTACGGGCGAGTGTAGCTCGGACAGGGCCAGGGCTACAACGGATCTTCCCTCGGCGTACAGCGGTGCGCTTCTTGGACGTCGTCTCGGCATGGAGCCTCCACCACTTGTAGTGGTCGCCGCATCGAAAGCACCCGTGCCATTAGATATCTCCAGTGATGAGGGTTGATTGAACGCAATGGGAGCGCTGGCCTGTCGTGCATGAGCGATTCCAAAGTCAAATCGTCCACCAACAAGTCCTGTGCTATGCATGCCGGTCTCCTGGTCATCTTCACTGCCCTCGTCGTCGCTACTACGAAGGCTATCCTGGCTCTTCTTGACGTACTTCAGCACACTGCTGAATTGATAGATCTCCGGCGAAGGTGGCGGGCTGGGCTCCACGTCTCGTTCTTCGTCGCTCCGCTCAGTACCGGACGAGAATCTCGTCGTGGCTGAAGTGCTACGACCACTCGACACCTGAGTCCTTCGGAGTGGACTGGCCGAAAGGGACTTGCGCAGCGGCACAATCGAGTCTAGCGGCACACCGTCCGTGTGGTGCACGACCGCCGTGCGAATTTCACACGTTCCGCTCGTACCCTCGTTGTCGTCCGCATCGCCTCGCCGTGAGGCTGGCGATCGTGGGATGTTGCTGCTGCTGCTGCCGCGTGGGGAATCCTGAGGCTTCGCGCGTGAGGCGAGACCGGTCGGTGGTCGATTCGACGGCAACTCTCTCAGCTCGCCAGCCGATGATGCCAGCGCGGAACGGCCTGGCTTCACACCACTGACATCGCTCTTACGTCGAATGCTCGATGGCAGGCGAGCCCGTATGTCCCTGACTTGGCGAAGAGATGGTTTCTTTTCTTTGCTCTGTGCCCTGGTATTCATCCTTGGCCCACTACCGACATCTGTTGTCGTTCGGTCCATTGCGAACAAAGCTCTTTTTCTGGAAATGAGTGGCCAAGAGACAGAAGGCAACAAGTACCACCGAGTCAGCCGTCTTGAGCGTCGTCCCCGGCGACAATGGGAGCCACTGACGTTCTCAGAAATGATTTCTCCGCCTGGAGGTTTTCGGCAGATACGCGTCGGAAGCAACTGAGTTCTGGCCCTGGTCTGCCCTGCGTCGTCAAAAGGAGTGGCTGAAGGAATCCAGCGCCGTGTTTCACCTAGATTTATCTACCATTGATAGCACCCTGGCCCTCTGCCGGATAACTCAGAAGGCATTCGTCCAGCGTTTCCTAACTTTTCCTTCAGTGTCAGCCAGTCTAGCTACCTAGGGCTAGGCTACAAGCTGGCTTCATGTTCAAGTGTTCGCACGTCACATGTCATCAATCCTAATCCGGCCGGCACTAGTAGCAATCACCGAATCAGCCTGTATCGCAATGGGCATGGCGAAGATGAAGTTGAGTTAGAGTTTGCCCTGCAAATCTTCCACCGCCTACGTGCGGTCTGTCGCTGAGTGTCGGATTCCATTCGGCCTACGACGCGTGCGGGAGGAGCGTGGCTATTTTACTACAAGCTGTGAACGGTCACTGCTGCTTGAGGAAGCTGCAGGTACGGTGGCTCTTTGCAGCGGAGGATAAGAGATTTACGGGGCTCTGGGCTGCCCGAGCGTGTGCGGTCCTTCGCGGAGGAACGTGATGTGTCGAGTCGAGTGCGCTGTCATCTCAGCGCCTCTGGAAACCTCAGGAATCCATCGGAGTGGCAGTACGCACGACGGCTGATCCCTTCAAGCCTGGTCTTTGAAAGTTTGTGTGTGTGCTACGCTCTCCATGGCGTATGCCTGGACCAGACCAAGGTTGGCAAGGACAGCAGCTCAGTCGGATGACGAGATCGCGTGCAGACTACTACTGCAGCCTTGCAGGGGAGAAGTTGCTGTCAAAATGACTGTGTGCCTCCCTCAGGCTGTTTCAGCGCAGCCTACATCAGCCATCAGGAATGCCGGAGGTAATTTGTGGAAGCTATAATTATTGTAGTACATTGCAAAATCAGAGCGGCTCCCCAGCGACTATCTGTACTGTCAGCAGGTGGTGCAATGGGATCACAGGTGAGAAAATGATGAAATTATTGAATTTTGTTTTTCCGCATGATTATGTTGAACATGTCCAATGGCAATGGTTTCCTTACGTAGAGCCGGATTTGTGATGCATGTACTTTCACCGTACACTGCTCCTTCATGATGTCCTATAACGTGAGTCAAACTTGCACCAGTTCACATCCCAGTATTCGCAGCTCTAGTAAGGCTGTTGCACTGTGCCCAATAGGCATTTGCTAGCTTTATCGGACTTCATTGGGTAGCACCGTACTGGAATCCTCCTCTTCTGCTGAGGTGCAAGCCCCATGTGCCATAATGCCATTCAAGGCTTTGTAAGTGTTCGACATGTGGTGGCCTGGCGTGTGGAACACCTCCCAAGCTGGTTGTGTTTCTGAACGCAATTGTATAGCTGGTGGTAACGCCAACGTGTGGATTTTACTATTACTCGGTGCAGAGCCAAAGGTGCATGTATATTTAATGAGCAGTAGCCTATGGCAGAAAATGGTGGCTGAAAAACTGGCAGAATTTGTTACTTTTCTGGTATGCTTCATCAGTGCAAGTTTGGCATACACGTATGGATAAAGAAGAGCAGATTTGGAGGAATTGCCCACCGCAACTTTTACATGGCTCTGCCAATTTCGCTGCTTGTAGAGCAGAATCAACCAATTTTTTAAAGCATTATCCGCCATGGGATAATGCAGCGTATTGCTTACCACAGGCATAGGTTTGGTGCACAGAAAACTGGCCTCTCAAGGCAGGTGGGTGACCTTTCAACATAGGTCACAAAGTGCACATGATTGTAGAGTACTGCTCAATGAAATCCAGTCGTGTCACTCAAGTTTGCGCCTTGCATCATTTTGCAGCCCAGTGTTCGCAGGTCTAGGGCTGCGCAACGCCCCGGCGCGTACTTGTGGGCCGCGACTGGATTTCATTGAGCAGGCCATATGTAGAGGCATGGAATGTGGTACCTGATATAAGTGCCCTTTTTACCTGAGATAAGTGGCCTTTTAGCGCAGGTCACATGGTGTATATTGATTATTGAGGCATGGAATGGTACTGAAATAAGAGCGGCCTCTCAAGATAGGTGGTCTTTCAAAACATGTGGTCTTTCAAAACAGGTCACGTACTGTATGCAAGGCATGCCCTAGAAACTGAGAAAACCGTTCTCTCAAAATAGCAAGGGTGGGGCAGGGGCATGGGAACGAAACACTAAACCCCTCCTCCCTTTTGCTGGGACCACGCCTCTGTAGTACATGTACATGTATGTGTTTGCCTATAAGCACTGAGCGTGAAACCAACCGACCGCTCCGATTTCTTTGGTAGTGAGCAGTGGAAGTATGGGTATTGAGCACCGTGCGAGTTGTGGAAGCCTTGGGTTGCCCACTGTGGATATATGCAAGAACAGTATTGTCTACTTGTGGCCAGCCTGTCGTGTGTGGTGGAATTCAGTTGTAAGATAACGCTGTGCTGGATTATTTGTGGCTCACGGAGATGTTCCCACGGTGTGTAATGTATACGTAGGGCCAATTATGTCCCGAGTTGGTGTGAAGTCCAGATAATTGCATAGTAAGAGGGGTTATTCATAACTGCCATTAGTCTGGGGTTCCAGCCGTTCACTGTCAGAGCTGCACGGACGTCATCATGCCTGTCACGTGCCCGCCCAGCCAGTACTGTACCGTGTGCGCGGGCAGGGCACTACTCAGTATGTGTAACACTATGCATGCTCTGCAGAGCATGCATGTGTTATGCGGGGTAGCACCTGTGATCACCCGTTTGACCACATTCAGCGGACCTACTCACACACTGTGAAATCGACACCCTGTTTGGCAGCAGCCTCCTGGGAATGAAAGAAATTATTGAGTCGGGTTCCGGTTTTCCCTACTCAGCCACTCAACTGCCATAGTTGCCTTTCATAATTACATTTTGTTTCCATCGGCAGTCGTTTGAAGAGCCAGGAAAATTTTATGTTGAATATGAATTATTATTATTATTATACGCATTCCCGCGTTTAAGTGTAGCAGCAGTATGCTGCGTCCACAGCTTCGCTTATGCAGAATGGCTTGGGTGAGAGGAGAGGGGAGAGAAAGCAACAAGGCAACCAACATCTATGAAATTGGTCACAATAACATGAAGAGAACCAACCTACATATGCATGATTGCACAAGAATGGAGACGACAAAATATAATGGCTATAATCATTGTGCCACAAAACCGGTACACAGGAGATCTGTCGACAATGTAACGAAACATAAAACTCAGTTACTCAATACAGGTTCCACTAAATAATTACAAGAGAACAACGCTACAACGTTAGAATTGCTGCTAAATTATCGCAAGTGTAGAGAACGAGTCTAATACAAATGAAAACCATGAACAGACTGTCCCGAAGTTATTTTGGGAACAAATTGTACTACATAAATACAAGTTTTAATATAGCTATGAATAGGATGAAGGCCGCAGACATCACGCAACTACGTTACTTGTTTGACATGTATTTACTGTGTATTTTAAAAATATTATTGAAAACCCAGAATCGATTTTCTTGTTCCTATCATCAGTGGGAAAAAACGGAATTAATGATACAACCAAAGAAACTGAAGTTAAGTACTGTAAATAGAAAGGTGTTAGAAATAACATCAAGGTACAAGTGCAATAAAACCACTAGAGGAAACGCAAAAAAAGGTAACAAGATTACATAACCAAAGGCGAGAAGGCACTGAACGAAGTGTCAACCTACGAATACAACTTCAGTGCAACAATAAAAAGTACAAATACAAAAGTGCAGGATCATGATTGTTGAACATCAGTAATAAATAAACATGCCAATCTGCTACTAAAATGAATGCAAATTACTGGAACAAACCAATTGAGCAGCAGCACAGGCTGTCCAACCATCCTACTTTGAACAGGACAGTCCTGCTTTGGACCAAAACATTTGTATACTTTTACACGATTGCCTTTGTATACATCATACTGTGGTGTCCTGCTTTGGAATGGTGGCAGGGCTGGACAGACTGGTAGCGTACTTCAGGACTGGGCACAAGAAATAAAAAAATATTGTCAGCCTGGGATAGCATTGAGCATTCAGTAAGTCACAATAATTGAGCTACAATAAAAGCTAGTTCTACCTTATAGTAAAACGCCGATAATCCGGACATCAACTATCCGGATGATCAACTGTCCGGATGAAGAATTATCCGGATCACCTGGTTGGGCCGGAAAATAGAAAATTTAGCAGCTGTTTTAGGGTTTTACTGATGTTCCCCAATCTGAGACCATTCAAGCGAAGCACAAGATGCATTACAACGGAGGAGATTGGAGTCAAGATAGAGAATGAAAAATGATGATAACATGCGGGAATACGCATGGTTTAGATAGATGTGTGACTGCTCCCTTATCCGAACATTCTTCTCTTCCGAACCTCCTGGAAACAGCCTGTGTTTGGAAAATCGGCACTCTACTGTATTTGTAAGTAAGCTTGAGCACTGTATGAAAACAGGACTAACCCTTCTGTGTTAACATACAGGAAGAAATAAGAAATATTTGAAAGTTGAATCATGTTCGTTGCAAAACAATGCCAGTTGGTTGTCTAATTTTGCTACCGTGACATAGGAATAATACACGTCTAACATATCTGCCTTTTTAGAGAGACATACAGTAGAATCTGTGACTAACGACCACCCCTTGGGGCCATAGAAAATTGTCTTTAGTAGCATTTGGTGCATAGTTAGAGGTTTGCACCGCACAACCACATATGCATGTGAGACCGTCCGTGCCTGGCAAAGTGGTCTGTAGTACCAGGCTGGTCGCTAATCAAGGTTGGTCTTTAGTTACAGGTTTTGCTGAACGTCCGTGCCTGGCAAAGTGGTCTGTAGTACCAGGCTGGTCGCTAATCAAGGTTGGTCTTTAGTTACAGGTTTTACTTTATATACTTTGGCTAGTTTAGGGTGCCGGACATGATCAGTTTGAGGGATTAGGAGCACACGAGAAGTCCATCGAACCTTCCACTGGGCGGCAAACCTGCAAAGAAACACAACTCTTTACTCCCTACATAGTGAAATCAAGGGAAAGCGTGAGCTTTCCACGTAGAGAGTATCACACAATTCCTCCAGTATTGCCAAAGTCGCTACAGACCTCTGCTTTGAATATTGTGATGTTCTTCAGTATAATGGAAATCTTATTCAACTGAGGTATTTCCCTTGCCCGAAAGTATATTTCCATCAAACACTTTTGAAGAATATGCAGGAGGTGACAGGGGTAACAATGCAATCTTTTTTTGATAAGAAAGACAAAGAAACCCAGGATGAAAGCATTCCTTTTCATGTGTCCTTTGAAAGCATCTGTACTTCGAAGTACCTTGTATCATTTGTATCTTTGCCACTCTACAGGACAGGGAGGGAGACTGCAAGAAGGACAGGAAAGATCTGATAATAGTCCATCCCAAATCCCGATCACTATCTCGCCTCCTCAGACTGAGAACATTGCACAATAGAATATCCTCTTTTTGTGTTTCA